AGACTCAGAGTGGTAGAAAGCTGGGGGAGAAGACAACTCACCACCCAGGTGAGGGGGACTGCGTGATGGGGAATGAGTGGGGGAAACTGGATTGTTTGAGGCCTTGGTCCAGAGGCCTGACCTCCTTCACCCTCAGGCGGCCGTGGAACAGCTGGCCTTGGCCTAGGGCTCTCCAAGTTGGCTCCCTCCAAGATGCCACTAACTCCGAATACACCAAAGAATCTACCTCACCTGTCTCTGTCACCCTGGAGTCAGGAAAGAACCAAAAATCCCTCAGACCCTCTCCAGGGAGGGGCAGGACTGGCTGCAGGTGGAGAGGAGAGGGTGTGTTCTCTCTGTTCCTCTCCTACCTCAAGAAATGGGAGAATCTGCATTCCTTCCTCCAACACCAAATAACCTCAAACTAAACCAAGCCCAGCTGGGAGTTACCCCCAACCTAGTTACTTCTGCCTCATAACCCCACCCAATATATTTACCTCTTCTTGATCCAAATATGAACCTGCCCAAAGACATACAGCTTTAAGGGTTCTCCACAAAGGGGGAGGTTGGGGAAGGGGATCTATCATCACCTCCATCTCACAACCTGAGGCCCTCCAGTCTGAAATCTGTCTCTGTCTCCTCGTGCCCAAGCTGAGCTCTACCTAGGGACAGACAACCTGCATTCCTTGTGGTCTGAGTGGGCAGGTGGTAAAGGGGGTGCTGAGTTCCTTGCCCCCCTTCTCCCTACAATCGAAGAGTCCTGAATAGTTGAGCTCAAACAAGCTTCTCTGAGCAGCCAAGTACCCCATTTTCCCTTTCCCAGACCCAAAGCACTGGCTCCTTCTCAGGGGGGCATCCTTACCCATTTGATTTCTATTTTTGAAAGAGATAAGTTTGAGTCGGGGTTTTGGCAGTCCTGAACCTCTTGTAGAATGAGCAGAGGCTGGGGAGCACCCCCATCTCCCCTCCCTCAACTCTTAGGCTCCAAAGAGCACCATAGTCCCTCCTCATTCAGCTCTGCCATGCTCTAAAGCCAAAGCCTCAGCCACTCCCTCAATCAACCTCTCTCCAAGGCTGCCCAGTATTGTGCCAAATAGGGAAGGGTCTTGGGGGAAGGAAAGGCCATGGTTTAGAGGACCCCAAAATTGTCTCCTGTGCTCTTGTAATGCTAGTACCAATGACAGGACTCCAGTAAGGCTGGGCTCTGGCCCTCCACAACAGTGCCGTCTGCACAAGGCACAGCAGCAGCTGTAACTAAGAAATGTGGCTGGGGAGCAGGGGACTGAGAATAGCCCCAAACATCAAGTCCTTTGAGGAAATGACATCCTCTCCTCTGGTTGGGCCTGGTCTAACTGGTTTGTTGGAAATAAATAACCAAAATGAAAAAATAAATTAGGATCTGGTTAATGCTTTCAATTAACCAGGGAAAACTTGGGGGAGGGGAGTGATGAGGTGGTGAGAAAGTGCAGTTCCAGATCTTTCAGGGGAGGCTGCATTCAGACTGTTACCTATATTCAGTAGTTTGCTAGAAAAGAGTAATGTGAACCCCTATTGGTATAAGGCATCCACCTAGAGAAACCAGCATGTTAACAAAATATTATTTTCTTTTATAGAGATGAGGTCTCACTGTGTTGCCCAGGTTGATCTCCTGGCTCAAGTGATTCTCCTGCCTTAGCCTCCTGAATAGCTACTGACATGCAGAACTGTACCTGGCTGAAGGATTCTGTTTACTAGAGACTAGAGCAGTGTGATGGGAAGGGCCAAGGGCTGCTAGGGGATACCTTTCCCTAGGAGAGAGGGGAGACCCAGCCCTCTCCCCATACCATTAGACCTAAAATAATCAGGTAACTACAGTGGGGTTGGTGGCATCCAGAACACTGGCTCCAGCTAGAGCTGGAGGGGAACAAGAACACAGAAGCAGATCAGGGCTTTAAATAATCATCACAATAGAAGAGAAGGATACAAACCAAAGGTACTCAGTCCATGGCTGGATTGACTATAGGGAAGACAGCCATAGCTCATATCCCATCACCTCGAAAATTCTCCCGCCAAACTGCCACCCCCAGCCCCATGACTAAACCACAAGCCACAGGAAAGTTTAGAAACCATTCCTTTCTTTATTAAACATAGCTTGCAAGTGATAAATATTACAAAGTTTTTTTCTTTTAATCCTTTCTCCAAAAATTAGCTTATTATTTGAATCTGTCACTGCTGAAATGCTCAGCAGCATCTGAAACAGATGGGAGTGTATTTGCCTTTTTGAAAACCAGTTTCTATTGGTCTTAGTTTTTTCATTTTATTTCCCAAACACAATGCAGAAAATCAGAATGAGTTAAAAAAGAAATAAAGGAAACTTAAAGAGAGTTGTGCAAAAGGGTCTTGTTCCCCTCCCACCCACCCTATTCAGGGAAGGCCATTCCCCATCCCACCTCCCTGCTCCCCACCCCCCAACCCCAATCTATCCTTCCACCTTCACCAGGGCTTCACCCATCACCCTGTACCCTCTCCAGGCTTTATTGGCCAAGAACCTAAAGAAGAGAGTAGGAGTACTCAGCCCAGGCTGTGGGGAAATTGGGCCCCTGAAGGAGACAGACTGTAAAACAGCTGCCTTTAGGGGGGTTCAGATGAAATCTGAGGAAAGGAGTCAAAATGTGGGCTGTGTCTTCACTCTCCTATTTTATCACCAAGATGAGGGAAGTTCCATATCCTGTAGCTCACAAAGGGAGTAAATAACTAGAGCACCAACATGAGGCATTCAACTTTCAACCACCCTTAAGGGCTCTGTGGTTGGCTGTGAGATGGGGCTTGGGGCCTGGTCCCTGCCCTCAAATGGCTAGAGGCATAAAGGCAAAGACGTCACTGATCTGACATCCTGGACATTACTCTGCTGCCTCTCCAAAGTGAAGGGTAACGGTAGAGGACTGGCAGTTCTCCAAGGGCATTGTCATACACATAACCACTTCAACGCTGCTCACTTTCATTTCCTCCCTGGTTTCTCAGCCCAATACTTCCCTCACCTCAAATTGTTTTTGGGTTTTGGCAGGTGGGGAAAGAAGCATAGGATTTTAAACTTGATGGCCAGATGACCTCCCTCTTCACTTCACAGATAAGAAAACTGAGATCCAGAAAATTAACTACCAAGGATTACGTAGCAAGTTAGTAGGAGACCCCAGGTCTCCAGATTGTAGCCCCCTTAACCCCTTTTGTGTTGGTGGTTCTTTTTACTCTACACGGTCCTGGACCAGGAGGTCACAGCTTTCACAGGAGCCCAGCCTCACCTCAGTTCACACTGCCTAAGACTGTACAGATGGATGTGGCTCTTGTTAGGTGAAATCTCCACAGGATGACTTATTAAAATCTTTTCTGTCATCCTCTGACAATCCACCCTCAAAGGCCCATGAGACTAGGTTCTTTCTTTTTTGAGGAGGTGGGGTGGGGGAAGTCCCTTGCATAAGAAAGCTTGACACTGAATTTTGTTATATAGGTATATTGTATATATGCTGATGCAATCAGAGGAAAAAAAACAGTGCAAATACAATTACAATTCATAATAATACTTGGTTTCGATGCCCCCGGGAACTGCCCCATTCCTCGGCTACCTCCCAACCCCCAGCACTTCCCCACAGTATCAACCTAATGCTGGGGGGTAGGGAGGGTGGGCAGGTTAGGGTAGGGAGTGGGCTCTGCCAAGGCAGTGCTGGTGACCCGGAGGGACTACTCCAGGGTGGGGAGGCAAGGCACAAATTAGGGTGGGTGGTGGGGGAGGTGGCATCTCTAAGGAGGGATGGGGTTGGAGCAGCTGCCAGTCTCAGTGTGCTGGGCCCGGCCCACTCCCCTACCCACCCTCCACAGCCCTGCCTCCCTACCCCCTCCCCTTCCCCAGAAACCCTTTTGCACGGATCATACACAAACGGGCACATTACAAAATGACATAACACAGTTTCACAATATCCATGGCTAGGGCTTTTTTTTCTCTTTTTCAGTTTTTTTTTTTTTNGGAGAATTGCCTGAACCCGGGAGGCGGAGGTTGCGGTGAGCCGAGATCGCGCCATTGCACTCCAGCCTGGGTAACAAGAGCGAAACTCCGTCTCAAAAAAATAATAATAATAATAATAACAAACTGCATTAATTTGTGTGTGTGTTTCTGCATTGGTTTTGTCCTATTTACAGGTACTCTAATGGTCCACTGACTTTTCATCCATCATAGACCTTTCTCTTCTCTTTTATTTCTATTTCATCTATTTCAGTGTGTCTGGCATTCTGGCCTTTTCCATCCATCTCTCTGCCCAGGCCTGCTAGAGAAGGGGTTGGAACACCCCAGTACTGGTTTTTGTATGACCCATAAGCTGAGAATTTTTTTAACATTTTAAAATAATTGAGAAAAAAATCAAAAGAAGAGTAATATTTCATGACACATGAACATTATATGAAATTGAAATCTCAGTGTTCATAAAGTTTTATTGGAACAGAGCCACACTCATTTATTTACGTATTATCTATGGCAGCCTTCCAGCTACAATGGCAGGTTGAGAAGTTGCAAGAGACACCATATGGCTTGCAAAAGCTAAATATTTACTTTCTGGTCCTTTAGAGAACATCTGCCAGGACTCCTATACTAGAGATTCCTTTTCCATTGGATGTCTCAGACCTAAGACATGTTTGGACGTGCAAACTCATTCAACAGCTGTTTTATCACATGCCTACAGCATGCCAGACACATTGCTAGAACACAGGTATCCAAAGGTGGACATGACATGACACCTTTTCTGTTTGGAGGGAGGAGCTCACAGCCTAGAGGGTAACATGGGCCTGTCCACAACTGAACTACACTCCAGCTCTGTGTGTTGGTGCCAAGGTGTGAAATAGGAGCTGGGGAAACTCAGGAGGAGCCCTGACTGCCTGGGACGTGGGAAGAGAAGTAGTTATCATTAGATAATGGATAGCAAAGCCTGGATAGCCTTTTATTTTTATTTATTATTATTTTTTTTTCACAATATCCATGGCTAGGGCTTTTTTTTCTCTTTTTCAGTTTTTTTTTTCTACACAATGTACAATTCCTTTTAAATGGATCAAGAAATAGCTTATATACATGAATGAGTCCTTGTTATAACATCTCATCCGCAAATATCATAAGCTCATGAAGGTCTTGATGGAAAGGATGGGAGCCTAGGACTGATTGGGGTGGGGGTAGGGGTGTGGAGAGAAGGGTTATGCCTTCTGGAGGAGTGGGGAGAAAAGGGGATGATTGGGGAAAAGGAACAAAAGTAAAATATCAAGAAGCATCTTTACAAAGCAGTTCTATAGCTAATTCCTTTTAAAGGGGAAAGGAAATGTAACCAAAGCAGGAAAACATTTATCTCTGTGTCTTAAAAAAAATTGTCTACCATACATATATCCAAAAATGTGGGGAAAATACTTATTCCAGGGATGGAGGGAGTCCAGATGCTGTGGTCAAATTATAAAATAAAATTGACAAATAAGAACCTCTGTCCTCCAGTTTCACCCAAGCCTTACTGCTATTCCACTCATTTCAGGCTTCTAGGAAGTAAGACACCAACCATAAACTACTACTTTTAGTGCCTCTGGGGATGGAGGAAGCCAGGCAGAACTGGTGGGATCCTCACTCTCCTATAATGCTTCAAACAGAGGGTCTTTCCTCCTGTCCTTAGGGCTTGAGGTTTAGTGTCTACATGGCCCAGAGCCTGGAGATGGATAGTAACAAGTAGACTTGGAGGGACACAAGGCAAACAGTGATGAAAAAGAGAAAGAGAACTGAGGGAGACAGTAGGACGAGGAAGGAGGAGGTGGAAGGCTAATACTTTACCATGATTAGGGAGACCTCACCTCCATCACTAATCCCTGGGAAGAGTATAAAAATGGGGAGAAGAGAGGGTAAGAAATCAAACCTCAGTGGTTGAACAAAGGGTCACAGAGCTATACTAGTCAAGAAGCAGCTTCTAGGTAACTGACCCTGAGGGGATATAAACAGGGAAGATTCCACCACCTCCCCTATGGCCTCAGCACCTAAGTAGGCACTCACTATGGGCTTTCCTTCTCCATGATTCCCCATCTCTACACATCTTACTTCCAAACCCCATTCTAAGGTGGCCTGGCTCCCAGGGAAAGGACTCAGCTCAGGGTAGGGCAGGGACGGCCCCCAGCCAGACGGTATTGCACATTCTCTGTTCCTTACTTTTAATCTCAACTGACAAACTTGGGCATCTCGTACCTCTGAGCACCTCTGAGCTTGGGGAGAGGGAGACATAACAGAAATGGCACTTCATCATGAGGGAGGGAGAGGCTAGACAGACATGCCACAAGGCAAGATGACTTGTAGGGAAAATATTTAAAAAAAAAACAAGCTTCCAATTTTGTGGAAGACAGAAAAACAAAACCAAACAATTTATCCAGTGCTTTCAAAGCACAGAGGGCAAAGAAAAGATGTAAGAATATATCTTTATATATATATATATAATTTTAAAATAATCCCAGACCCAGTTCCATTAACCCCCCCTCCCTCTCCCACCACTTACAGTCAGGGGTACCACATTCCCCAGAAAAATACTCGAAAAGACCCAATCACTACCTGTTACTAGCATCTAGCTTCCAGATCATTTCACCACTGGGGGAGCCCAGACACTGGCTGCATCTCTGCTCCTTTAAGTGCTCAATGAATTTGGGGGAAGGGAGAAAAGAAAAAAGCCAGGAAGGCCCGTAGGGCCAGTATAATCACCCACAGTGGCACTGGGGTGTGGGAAGTAGAGGCCAGAGTAGGCGAACTGAGCCTGATTTTAGCTCTTTCTCCCACTCCACCTCCAAATTTTATGGGGAAGATGTGCAGTTTGTATGTGTGTGTTAATTTTAAAAGTGCCTTCTATAAAAAAATTACTTAATTTTAAAAAATAAAAGTGGGGAAACTTCCTCAGGTGACTTTAAAGGGCAAAATATTAAACTTCCCCTCATTCTTCTCTGCTGAGAATATTCCCCCCAGTGCACTCTGGCAGCTTCTGGAGCCAGAGGCAAGTGGGTGTACACTATGAGAAAAGCATAAACCCGTACCTTTAAGGGGCTTCCCTTACTTCAAAAACAGCCTGGTCTACTCCCTCTTCCCACAGTGTGGGCAAATGGGATGCTAATCTCCCCAATCCCCGGAACAGCAACATTGCACAATTCAATTCATTCTCTACATTAGTAGCGCTTTAAAAAAAAAAAAAAAAAAGGGCAAAATTAATATTAGGGGTGGGGGGAACAACAACTACTTGTACAGCAGAATTCCTAAGCTGGTTTTGACATGAGCTGTTTGGCTTTGAGCAGTTGGTTCTGCAGTTGGTGCAGCAGAGTAAAGACAGGACTCCAACCTGATTGTGTGCCCCCAGCCTCTCATCTCCTGGCACTCAGAGGGTGAAATAATTGGCAAATATGAGAATCTCAACTGTTGGGAGATAAATCCCTTCTTTCCTCTAAGTCTATTTCCTTCTGACTCATTCATGTCCATCCAACTTGTGGGACACCCAGCAAACTCAGCCTTGGAACAGCCATTCCTCTGTATTATAGATGGGGCTATGATTAGAGGGAACAGAATTTTTAAAAGCAGCGTGGTGTGAGGGAGAATTTCACAAAGAATGCAAGATGAAATAATTTTGGGCTGGTTGGCCTGGAATAGACTTCCGTGTTCCCACTGGGGTCTGAAGATGGGTCTTATTTCTCCAACACCCAGAAGGGGAAGGACCTAGTTTCAGTCCTCCCTGGCTCATAACTAAGCCCATCATAACTCTTTCTCCCTTTCTTCTACGGGTAAATTCCAGAGTGGCTGAGTTTTAAAGCTTCTCCCTCCAGGCTCTTTTCCCTCATTCTTACAGCCCAATTTCACGACTAAAGACTGTCCCTCAAATTGTCCAACTCCCAAACACCCACAGCTGGGGTGCTATTCGTCCTTGTTCAATGACCCCCAACCCGTGCCCTCCTCCAGTTAAGTGCATTCAAAACTTTTGCCCCTAACACTCCTGGACATGTCCTACTTGGCAGCTGGGACCCCTACTGCAATCTGCAATGCTCCTATCATTGAACTGAATATCACTGTGTTTATGAGAAAAAAAAAAAAAAAAAGAAAGAAAAGGAAAAAGAAAAAGATTGGGTGGGCGGGGAGGTTTAACCATCCACTGAACAAAGGGAGGACACAAAACATCATTAAAAATGGTAATAATCATAGCATAAAACAACTTTAGAAACACATATCAGAGGGCTTAGATTCTCCCCAGGACCTCATTCTGACCTCTATCAGAGGTAAAGATCCACCTCACTGTTAAAGAAAATTGAAGAGAGAAGACAGAGCGGCAGAAGAACAGATCGCAGCAGTGTAAATAAAGGGGAGGTGGCAGGGCAGGGCGTGTTTTCTTGCTGATTTCTATTTTTTGTCTTCTGTTTTTCTGTTTTGCTTTCCGTGTATGGTAGGCACCAGTACAGGCACTGCATGCGACAGAAGTTGGGGGAATGAAAGAGGAAAGGGATAAAGGATTCAAGGATGGGGCAGTACAAGTGGAACAGGCGTTATTTCTGTCCACTGATGGACTGCGATATAGACCGGGGAGGGATCATGTCTAAAAGGTATTCACGCTGTCGGTCTGCCAAACTGGGGCCTTTGTGTCCTCCGATGCCAGTATTCAAGTATGCAATGTTGACACCTGGACCCAGGAGACAAAAGTGGAGGGCAGGTATTAAAAGAGGAAATAACACTCCCTTCCACTCTACCCTCCAGCTGCAGAGTTGGAGATGAAGAGGAAACAGAATTTACCAGCATCTGGCCAGATTTGGTTAGCTTTATTTCAATAGTAACTTTATTTATTTATTTATTTATTTTGAGATGGAGTCTCACTGTGTCACCCAGGCTGGAGTGCAGTGGCTTGATCTTGGCTCATTGCAACCTCTGCCTCCCAGGTTCAAGAAATTCTTCTGCCTCAGCCTCCCAAGTAGCTGGGACTAAAGGTGTGTGCCACCATGTCTGGCTAATTTTTGTATTCTTAGTAGAGATGGGGTTTCACCATGTTGGTCAGGCTGGTCTTGAACTCCTGACCTCATGATCCGCCTGCCTCAGCCTCCCAAAGTGCTGGGATTACAGGTGTGAGCCACCGTGCCTGCCTGGCACCCCCTTTTTTTTTGAGAAGCAGTCTAGCTCTGTCACCCAGGCTAGAGTGCAGTGGTGTGATCTCAGCTCACCTCTGCCACCAGACTCAAGCAATTCTCCTGCCTCAGCCTCCAGAGTAGCTGAGATTACAGGTACGTGCCACTAGTGCCGGGTTAATTTTTGTACTTTAAATAGAGATGGGGTTTCACAATGTTGGCCAGGCTGGTCTTGAACTCCTGACCTCAAATGATCCACCCACTTCAGCCTCCTAAAATGCTGGGATTACAGATGTGAGCCACTGTGCCTGGCCAAGTTTTGGTAAATTTATTTTATTTATTTGAGATGAAATTTCACTCTTATTGCTCAGGCTGGAGTGCAGTGGCACAATCTCGGCTCACCGCAACCTCTGCCTCCTGGGTTCAAGCGATTCTCCTGCCTCAGCCTCCTGAGTAGCTGGGATTACAGGCACCCACTACCATGCCTGGCTAATTTTTTATGATGGGGTTTCATCATGTTGGCCAGGCTGGTCTTGAACTACTGACCTCAGATGATCCACCCGCTTTGGCCTCCCAAAGTGCTGGGATTACAAGCATGAGCCACCGTGCCCAACCAATTTTTTTGTATTTTTAGTAGAGATGGGGTTTCGCCATGTTAGCCAGGCTGGTCTCAAACTCCTGATCTCAAGTGATCTGCCCGCCTTGGCCTTTCGAAGTGCTGGGATTACAGGTGTGAGCCACTGCACCCAGCACAGCAACTTTATTTCAATCCCCACTCCTATTCCTAAGCTTCAGAAGAAGGGGAAGTCCTGAAATTTCCATCCTACCAGGAATGATGAACATGCTCCTGATAGTATAGGAGAGATAAGTGAAACAGTAGTGACAGGAAAATGAGTAAGACAGAGAGAGAGAGAATCATTAAATCAGCTTTAATTATTATTATTATTTTTTGAGATGGAGTCTTGCTGGAGTCTTGCTCTTGTTGCCCAGGCTGGAGTGCAATGGCATGATCTAGGCTCACTGCAACCTCCCAGGTTCAAGCGATTCTCCTGCCTCATCCTCCCAAGTAGCTGGGATTACAGGCGCCCACCAACCATGCCTGGCTAATTTTTAAAATATTTTTAGTAGAGACAGGGTTTTGCCATGTTGGCTAGGCTGGTCTCGAACTCCTGACCTTGTGATCCGCCTGCCTCAGCCTCCCAAAGTGCTGAGATTAAGGCTTCAGCCACCTTGTCTGGCCTTGGCTTTTGATTTTGAGGCTGCAGATTATGAGAAGCATCCCTGGATTATTCAAACACAGTTAACCCTGTTGTCCCAGCCAAAATAGATCAATAATCACATGTATACTGAAGGCATATTAAAAGTTAAATTTATAATGATAGTAATCACATGTATACTGAAGGCATATTAAAAGTTAAATTTATAACGATAGGATCTCGGTCATTTTCACCACCAAAACCCTAGTGCACTGTGGCTGGCACGTAATATGAATTTAGCAAACATTTGCTGAATAACAAGAGTGAGGATGTATGCTCTAGAAAGAAAAGAAAGTAAAGGAAGGAACAATTCCCTTAAAGGGGTTACTACAGAATGGCATACTAACAGTTGATCCATGAGAAACGTTTTCAGATTAATCCTTCTTACCTGGCATACCAAGGAGGCCACCTGGCACAGACAACTGGGGTGCCTGTGCAAAGTTTGAAAGCATGGAGCGGGCAGATGTGGGTATGCCACGCTGGAGGCTGCTCTGGGGCTGTGGAGCCTGCAATGATGAGGAGACAGTTGATACAACTTTGCTATGATAGAATGTTAAATGAGGGCAAAGATAAGGGAGTACAGAAGAATAATATGATTTCCCACAATAGAAAAGACAAATTATGATAAATGGTTGATAAACATTCTAAAGACATCAGGATCAGGGAAAAAGTTACTTACCTGCCGAAGCGTATGATGTCTCATGATAGTCTCTTGTTTACTGACACTGGATACAGCTGGAGCCGTAGTGGGGGAAAGGGCTGCCTGCTGCTGTAATCGCTGTTCAATTTCCTGTTGGGAGTCATCAGATTAGGTTGACAGGACAGCACCCAATTTCCTTTTTTTTTTTCAAATAGACACATGGTCTCACTTTGTTGCCCAGGCTGGTCTTGAACTCCCGGGCTCAAGCAATCCTCTCACCTTAGCCTCCCCAAAGTGCTGGGATTACAGGCATGAATCACTGTGCCCAGCCCACCTGATTTCCTAACCAGAAAACCTAGAGGTGTTCTTACCTCTAATGCTGTTGGCTAGTTGGTGGAATATGGAAAAGGCAAAAAAGTTTGGTAGGGTGGTACACTGAGATTTCTGGGTATAAGCAGCTAACCTGCTTCATTGATCAAGGGATCCTCCTCTCTCTTTTTCTCCAGGAAAGCTGGCTCTCAGAAGTTGGCTGGAGGTGATGAATTAATTAAGGCTGATAAATTACTGGGGTTTTATCACTTTTTTTCTTTCTTATTTTTAAAAAATTTTTATTTATTTTTTACTACCAGTCCTACAGCATAAATGGGTTTTATTTTTTACTCCTGCCTACCCCATCTTCCAAAAAGTTCATGATGCTAACCAAACAAGGGAGTCTGATGGGTAGAGTGAGAAATAAGAAGGATCTGAGTTTTCAGGCCGGGCGCGGTGGCTCACGCCTGTAATCCCAGCACTTTGGGAGGCCGAGGCAGGTGGATCACGAGGTCAAGAGATCGAGACCATCCTGGTCAACATGGTGAAAACCCATCTCTACTAAAAATACAAAAAATTAGCTGGGCATGGTGGTGCGTGCCTGTAATCCCAGCTACTCAGGAGGCTGAGGCAGGAGAATTGCCTGAACCCAGGAGGCGGAGGTTGCGGTGAGCCGAGATCACGCCATTGCATTCTAGCCTGGGTAACATGAGTGAAACTCCGTCTCAAAAAAAAACAAACAAAAAAAAAGAAGGATCTGAGTTTCTAACACATTTCTCCCTCTCTAAGATATTCTCATCCTATTACTACAACATGAGATGTTCACATACTCTAGAACCACTACTTTTCACTGGGTTACTTCAAAATTCACTCTCCTTTGTCATTTCCTGTCAAATATACACTGCAAATAACTACTACTAAGAGATCCCTAGTACAAATATAAACTCTTCCCACCAAAATCTTTTATTTGTTTTAAGAGAAAATGAAGATGAGAATAGAGTGCTATGGAAAAGCCAAGAGCCCCAAGGTTTCTGTCCCTTTCTGTTAACCTCAGCCATTATATTTTACCATGTTCTTAATCAGAATACTCCATCAAATGGAAACACTATCAAATGATAAGGAGACAAAAAGGGAACCTCTGGACCTGTGGGGATCACACGAACCACTCCTGCAAACTAGAAGGCACAACCCTTTGAAAAAAACAAACTAGGGCAGGTGGCTGGTGAGTTCAGAATTCTTACCTGTTCCTGCTGTAGGGCTTTCACAAACGCATTTTTCAGCCGGTTGGTGTGTTCAGCTTTTAGAGCCTTCTTCTGGTTGGAGGTCATACACTGCTCACATAGAATCTTACCATTCTTTTCTTGCTTCCAGTGAGGGGTAAAATCTGTGCGGCACTGGGCACATACAAAGGGTTCAACCCGCAGAAGTGAGGCACAGCTTTTGCCTAGATACCAACAAAAATAGTGGCTTTACATTTCCTGTCTCCTCTGTTTCTCTTAATCAAATAGATCTTTTCAAGGAGTTTATTCTGATGAATTAAAGAGACTCTACAAAAATAATATTCTATAATTTACAAAATGCTTTTATTTAATCTGATTACCACAATTATCACTTTAGGGAATTCAGACAGTACCATTCTCCTTCACAAATTAGGAAAGAAGTCTAAGAAATGTAGCTTCTAAACTGATAAAGCTGGGATATTTCCTGATGTTCTATATCACACTGAGAAGAAAATCCTGCGTCAATTCAAAGTCAAAGGACTCTAACTCAACCAATACTTTTGCTTCTTAATATCTCCTTACCTCACACTGTTCTTATCCCTGTCACATACATTTACTTTTAAATAGGTATCAGTGTCTGAATTATTCACTTTGTGATCTATTTATAGCTAACATTGATTCCTCTGGGCACTTTCCTTTACTGTCAGTTTTTCTTCATTAAGTCCACGTTTAGAAATTCAAGTTTAATAACTTTGGTTAGTTTAGACTGTATGATGATAATACTCTGTAGTATGGTTTAGTATTGGTTTACAGCTTTTTATATGGTCTTTCTTAATTATCTATACAAGCATGTCTAGTTTCTCAACTGTAAGCATGCAAAGATCAGGGACTAAATACAGAAATTCAGTACAGTGTTGCAAAAACACTGACATTAAAAATAGAAGTTCCAGGCCAGGCATGGTGGCTCACACCTGTAATCCTGGCATTTTGGAAGGCCAAGGCAGGCGGATCATTTGAAGACAGGAGTTTGAGATCAGCCAGGCCAACACAGCAAAACCCTGTCTCTACTAAAAACAGAAAAAAAATAGCTAAGTGTGGTGGCACACATCTGCAATTCCAGCGACTTTGGAAGCTGAGGCATAAGAATTGCTTGGGGCAGGTGCGGTGGCTCATGCCTGTAACTCCAGTACTTTGGGAGGCCGAGGCAGGCAGATCACCTCAGGTCAGGAGTTTGAAACCAGCCTGACCAACACTGTGAAACCCCGTCTCTACTAAAAATAAAAAAATTAGCCAGGGGTGGTGGCAGGCGCCTGTAATCCTAGCTACTCGGGAGGCTGAGGCAAGAGAACTGCTTGAACCTGGGAGGCAGAGGTTACAGTGAGCTGAGATCACGCCATTGCACTCTTCAGCCTGTGTGACAGAGCGGGACTCCGACTCAAAAAAAAAAAAGAATTGCTTGAAACCAGGAGGCAGAGGTTGCAGTGAGCTGAGTTCATGCCACTGTACTCTAGCCTGAGTGACAGAGTAAGACTCTGGCTCAAAAAAACCAAATCAAACCAAAACAAAAGAAAACATCTGGGCATGGTGGTGTACGCCTGTGGTCCCAGCTACTCAGGTGGCTGAAATGGAAGGATGGCTTTAGCCTGGGAAGTCAAGGCTGCAGAGAGCTGAGATCACATCACTGCACTCCAGCCT